AAACATACAGATCTATGATCATATATTTTTAAATCTCAGCAAAATGTGTTTTAAGATTAAAATGACAAATTACTAATAAGCTATAGAAAACCCTCATATACAAACAATATGGTGATTGTGTCAACTGAACAGGTCTGGAAACAATGACCCATCTGGTGAGTCTCTATACCCACAAGAATGTGACTTTCAAATGCCTGTGCCTTCAGAAGAAATTAGAACCTGTTGGGATATGGCCAATTCCAGATCAACAAGAGCTTGGGGTTGTACCAGACAGTAAGATGGCCATAAAAGACAACTCAAGCCATGTTAGGAAATCTAGGAAGAGTTCTTGCTAGTAAACTCCTTCCTGCTCTCATCTCTAAGTACCCCATACACCTTGGAAACTATGCAAGAGACCTCTACAGAGCTCTAAAGAAGAAAGAGGACAGCATCCTGCTCACTGACCTCAGGATRGGGGAAGCAACATAGCAAGAGGGAGTCATGAGCTCCACCCAAGAGAATTTGCCAACCAACAACCYAGCAACAGAGGGCAGGCCAACCAGGCTCATTCTTCCCTGACTGGATTGGAGTCTTACAGAAAACATGAGGTCAGCCCCATAAGACCAATGAGAGGGTGAGTTGGGACATCCACTAATGACAGGTAGCCAGGAAATGAYTCTATTTCCCCCAGGGAGGGGAAGGGAATGCTAAGGTGGACCAGCACAGAGCTCCTGACACAACAAGTCCCAGCCCCCAACACTGAGCAGCCTGAGGCATCAGCAAAGGTTATTGTGCCACAAATGGCAGAGCCTAGATCATTCCCTGTCCCTACTGCAGGAGGACTCCTCACAGGACAAAGACCTGGCCTGCTAAGTCCTCTCCTTCTCTGACCTCCCAACCCTCCAGTCCTCCATGTGGAGGCATATAGAGTCAGGGCTGGAGAACACCTATCTGTCCCTCAGGGAGTAATGGGAGCTCCTGAAGTACCACATAAATCAAAYAGACCAAACAGCACCATGGAAACTACGAAAATTAAACCATTATTAGAGCAACAGTCTACAAGTAGGCTAAGACCTGTGTATTAAATCTAAGTATGATAACTGCAAAAATAAAAGGTTATTTCATAAGGCACAAAGTATTCTAATATAATAGCCAAAATGCCCAGGTCATGGGGCTGCAGTTATAGCTCAGTGGYAGAGCACTTGTCTAGCATGTGTGAGGCACTGGGTTTGATACTCAACACCACACAAAAATAAATAAATAAAATAAAGGTATTGTGTCAATCTACAACTAAAAAAAATAAAAAATTTTAAAAATGCCCAGGTCATAATTAACAATCACGCAGCATTCAAAAAACTAGACTATATATATATATGTGTATACATATATATATGCAATCAATTTACACCATTATTAAAATAAACCAGACACTGTAATGATCTAGCTAGTATTATTATAAAATAGCCACAGTAAAAATGTTTTGACAATTACAAATCACTTTAAAAAAATGAAATAGTAGAAAAATCTCACTAAAGAAAAAGAAGTCATAAAAGAACTACATGGATACTAAAGGCCTAGAAAAAAATGCAACAGTAATAAAAACTCATAGCATTGTCTCGTAACAAGAGAGGAGATGACAAGATAGAATCAATGAACTTGAGGAATAATCAATATACTTCACCCAACCTGAGCAATAGGGAGAAAATGGATTGATAAAAAATGTGAGTTTCAGGGACCGTAGGACAATAACAAGATTCAATGTTGGTATCACTGGAGTCTCAGGAGCAAAAGGGAAACAGAATGGGCTAAGAAAGAGTATTAGAGGMAACAATGAGTGAAAAACT